GCCATCGAAATTTCAATACCATTTATTTTGGTAGGTCACGCCCTAACTATATTTTCGTCACAACTTACTTCAATTTAATAAATACGACTTGGCCTAATTAATAACATGACCTCCATCTAACTAGTTTTAATTACAGATTCTATATGCACCACTAATCACCCAAAGATCTGTTTCTAAGATAAAATTTTTCTAATTAAAACCCAATTTTTAATCCTATGATATAGAACTTCGAAAGCAATACTTGTCGATCCACATCACAGTTTCACTTCACTAACGTGTCTAAATAGGTATCGCAAATTGCAACGTTCCCAAAGTTTAGGTTGAAAATTAGAAAATAATCAAGGGGTATCTCTAGAAATCAATTAACCGAAAGATCAATGGAAGAAAAACGTGAACTAAAAGATACTAAAAGAACTGTTTGCATGTTGAGAGAATAAAATGGACATTGATTAATATATATTTTGATTAAATATATTATACAATATATTTATTAAAAAAATATTATTTTTATTTAAAATTAAAAACAGATAAATTTAAATATGCATCTATATATACAAGATATAAGAATCGATTAAATCAATTGTATTTATATTATAATTTAATAGTTGAATCAAACTAAAATAATATATATATATCAAATTAACAAGTGTACTAATCATTTTTTGTATAAAATACTGAAATTCAATTTAAAGATTGGTTTTATTGATAAGTACAGCAAATTCTTTATAGATTCAAATTAAGTAACAAATTAATAAATTTCCTCCATATAGGATACCGGATACACAAGCGTAGAAATGGACACGCGAGCACCTTGACAGTAGTTCAAAAAACTAAAAAGGGAAAAACACTGAAATTCATATTGAAAAAATTGTTTTACACATTATGACATGTAAAACATAAATCTTATAATTACTTGAATCTTTATGAGGTCAATGACAGACTCTATTGACCATGAGATTGCAGTGTTTGCGCGCAATTCGTACAAGATACATATTGGGGGTTGTTTGTCA